GGGGGGGAGGGGGGTCATACTTGTTTGGAGAGGGACTCCTGGGCGGCTTGGATGTCGCGGGCGGCGCGGGCGGCCGCGCGCGGGTCGATCGCCCGCCGGGCAACCTCCTCGCGGGTGGCCTGGGAGTTGGCCTTGCGTGCCTCCAGGCGCCGGGACCGGAGCAGGGCCAGCTTGGCGGCGGGATTGGGCTTGGCGGGGGCGCTGGAGCTGCCGGTGTCGTCCGAGGAATCGGACATGGTGAAAGGCGGGGCGAGAGGGAGGAAAAGAAGAGAGGCTGAAGGGGGACACGAAAAGAAGGTGGGTCCCGGGGCACTGCGGGGCGGATCTCCGTGCGGCCGGCCGAAATACCCCCCGCGTCAATCGTCCCCCCCCCCCCCCCCCCCCCCCCCCCCCCCCGGGGGGTGGGCCTTGCCGGGAGGACGGGCCGCGGGGGACCGCCGACCCTGGGGGCGGCGGGGGAGGTGCCACCGCGGGGTCGGGCGAGCCGGAAACCGAGGGTATATATGCCGCGGGGGGGACCAATTACCTCGAGCAATGAAATCAACAGTGGAATGTCTCAACGGGTTGAGAGAACTTCTGAATCTAAAGGATGAAGTAAACCACGACGAGCTCAATTCGCGCCTCCGCTTCTTTTTTGTCCGCGCCCGCGGCTGGATGCCCTCGCGTTCCAGGGGGCGGGGGGGGGACCACACAACGCAAATAGGGGGGGGGGCGTGCGGGGATATGTGATGGGGGGCCCCGGAAGAGAGAGAGGGAGAGACACCAGAGGCCGCGTCTTCTTGGGGGTGGGATTATTTTATTTCGTTTCTTTGCGGCGATTAAACACGGACCGCGCGGACGTGCACACAAAAAGGCACATGCGCTCTCCGGGGGGACACAACCAGTAAAAAAAAAAATAGCGGGGCGAGTGCCGGGCACAAGGCTTGAGGAGGGGGGGGGGGGACACAATGGTATTGAGGAGAGGTAGACCAGGAGGGCGGGGGAGGGGCACATGCGCTCCCTTCGCCGGGGTTGGGGGGGGGCAGCTCAAGGGCGGCGACGGGACCAAAGCAGAGCGAGGCGGCGCCCAGGCTCGGCCACTAGCCAGGCCATGGAGAGGGTGCACGATCGCGCGCCTTGTGCACCGATACACAGCCTCCCGCGGCGCGTGCGTTTAAAGGGGGGGGGCAGGGGGGCGCCGCAGGCGGAGATCAGGCGCTCCCAGCGGCAAAGCGCCGTGGCGTGGGAGGGCGCGCACGCGGGCGCCCCCCCTCGGGGCGGGTGCTGCTGGCTGCGTGCCCCCCCCCCCCCCCCCGGGCTCCATCAAGGCAGGGGCTCGAGCCCGGTGGCCTTGAGCGGCAGATGGATGTAGATGTCTGTGCCCTCGCCGTCCATGGACACGATGCGCAGGTCGCCATTGAGATAGCGCGAGTACTGGTGTGGTGCGTGGAGAATGGCCGAAGTGTCAATAAAAGGGAGGCGCAGGGGGGCGGGGGGGGGGGGGGGGGCCACGGTGGCCGTGGGGAGATATGGTGCGCACCAAACGGGCCAGCGGGAGGCCGTAGCCGAAGCCCGCCATCGGGGTCTTCTGGCCGGCGCCGGAGGCATCCACCCCGTCGGCGGCGGCCGCCGCCGGGTCGAGGCTGCTCAAGAGACGGTCGTGATGCTGGAGCAGGGCCGGGTCCTCGTCGGAGCCACTGTCGGCCCCTTCGCTGGAGGAGCTGGACCCGTCGCCGGCCTGGCGATAGTAGCCGCGCCCGGGGGCCGGGGGCTCGGCGGCCGTGGTGTAGAGGTATGTCCACACCCGGCGAAGGCCACTCCGGGGGATGCCGCCCCCCTGGTCGGACACGCGGATGGTGACATCCTCCTGGCCGCGGACCACGGTGATGGTGATCGGGGGGAACTGGTCGGAGGTCAGGCGCCAGGGCTCCGGGCCGCCGTGGCGCTCGACCACCGCGCGCAGGCTGTTCTTCAGGATCTCGAAGATCATGTAGTGCAGGTGCGACGGGACATAGGTGAGCGTGAGGTCCGGGTCGCAGGAGAGCACGATCGGCGGGGCGGTGAACAGGTCGAAGTGGGCCTCGCAAATGTTCTGCGCGTCGGAGATGGCCTGGTCGACTGCGAGGGAATGGACGCACAATGCGGTCAGCGGTGGGCCCGGGCAGGCTGGGGCGGGGCGCGATCATGCACGATGGTGGGACGGGGGCACAGGGGGCACAGGGGGCACAGGGGGGGGAGGACGCACTGATTTCTGACACCCGCATGTGGGGCATGATCATGCCAACGAAGCGCCGGCCGCCGCCGGGGCCCCCATGCGCGGCGGGCAGGCTCTCCGGCCGACTGAGGGCGATGTGCTGGCCGATGAGGAAGCGAATGCCGATGCGGGCCATGAAGAACTGGTCCAGGAAGGATTGGATGGCCGAGTTGATGATCGGCTGCCGGTGGCTGCGCTTCCACTCGATGATGCCCTCGGCTGTTTGTGGGGACGATGGGCAGGCGCGAGAGAAGCAAGGCATGGGGCGGGGGGGGGGGGGGCGTCAGTCAGGCGGCTGGCGGGGTGGCGGCGTGGCGCAGGGAAGGACATGGGCGCGGGCTCGGAGGGAGGGCAGGGCCCAGGAACGGTGCGCACCGATGGACGTCATCACCAGATTGTGGCGGTTTTTGATTTTGTCGATCAGCTCGACGAAGCGGTCATTGACCTCGGCCACATTGTCCGGCAGGCAGTCGTGCGACAGATCATGCAGGGTCTCGCTGTAGAGGGCCTCGCCATTTTCGGAGCTTGGGACCTGCGAGCGG